AAACTTAACTCCGAGATCTTTCACTGATGAAGCAGGTGTTAGTTTCTTACCAAGTAGCGAGAGTCTAAAATCAGGTAACTTCGCGAGCATTTGGCGGCTTCCGTAGACCATCAATTTAGTTTTGTCTGGATTCAGCAAGAGCAGGTTATCAAAACACCAGTTTCGCATTCTAATCAAATCCTCGTTTAGATCAGTCAGCGCAATGTTCGAGTCATCAATTCGGAAGGACAGAAGGAGTTTGGTGTCATCAACATACGATTCTGATGAACAATTTTTGGCGACTGACGGCAAATCATTCACATAAATACTGAAAAGTAACGGGCCCAGAATACTTCCCTGTGGGACACCGCTAACAACTGGCAATTTCTCAGATAGAGCAGAGTTGATACGTACTGCTTGGTATCTCTCGGTGAGGTAACTTTTAAGCCAACCCAGGCATCTAGACGAGACACCAACGTCCTCCAATTTAGCAAGCAGTATATTATGGTTAATGTTGTCAAAAGCTTTGCTCATGTCCAAAAGAATAACTGCTGTTACTTTCTTCTGGTCAATTGCTTTTAGAATAGAGTCGGTGGAATGAATAAGGGAGGTTTCCGTTGAATGCCAGGTTTTGTTGCCACTTTGATGCACAGAGAGACGGTGATTGGTGGTTAGGTAAGACGTCAGTTGGTGGAGTGCTACACGCTCACATACTTTTGAAAGAACTGGTAATAGGGAAATGGGTCGGTTATTGTTCGCCAGCTCATGATCACCTTCTTTTGGAATGGGAGTTACTTCCGCGATTTTCCAAGTATTCGGGAATATATTGTTCGCCAGAGAGTTGTTTATGATTGAGGTTATCCATGGCGAAATAACGGGTAAACAGTCCTTAATGACACGGATCGGTATTTTCTCGATTCCTGGAGCTTTGTTATCTGGCATTGATTTCACAATATATTCCACTAGGGAGCATTCTACGGGTTCGAAGGTGAACTGTTCTGACTCAGTATAACTTCGCGGGACAAATGGTAACTGAGATGGAGTGTAATTGTTTTCTTTAGCTAGTGATTTGATTTTCGTGACAGTATTTGAACCAACTGATGTAAAGAACTGGTTGAAGTTATTCGCCACGGATTTATCGTCACTCCTGAAGCATTTTTTTCCCGGTAGCTAGATTTCTTTGGAATACAAGTGCGTATTACTTTCCACATGTTGCCAGTGTCCTTGGTGTTTTTCCTATCATCTTTATCACTTTCATCTTTTAAAAGATCTTTAAAAACTAATAATGCTATTTAACTCTTGTCCGACTCCCACACGGCAACCTTGTAGAACAGTAGCCCCATATTTGTTATATTTTTATATATACTATGTGAATCTAAATATTTTTAAGCTTAGAATAATTTTGACTATATTTATTATGTACTATTACTGAAGGTTTACCGTGTTTTAAATAAAGGCGATGTATGTATGTATGTATGTATGTATGTATGTATGTGTATTAGTTATTTTCAGTTTATTTTACAAACATGCAGGTCGAACAAGGGTGCAATGTCAATTATATAAATACCTACATGGCACCCGAAGAATCACGGTTGTATGTGATTCTTTAAAACTGTTGATATTGATACTGTGATGAGGTGGTGAAGCTTCCTAACGTGACGTCCCGCGCGTTTAACGACATAGATACATGTTCCAATCATAGATACATGTTCCAATCATGTGGAAATGTTTTTGAAATTTATTTGCGTCCTTTTCTTTGTTGATGGGTTGAGTTTGTTGTACTACAGTAGTTGGGGCAACTCTTCATCTTTAAGTGTTGACTTGGCTAAACAGACATTCTGTAGTTTAAGCAAGTGAAAACGAGCAAAAGAAACGAACAAACACGGCTATACTGTAAGAATGTTACAAACTGTTTGCCGATGAAAATATGTTAAAGCCGACATAAAGTTGGCGAGCATTGTTTGTTTCGAAATTATGATGACCTCCACAGACTGACTATAAACTCAGTATTCAGAAATATTCCTGCAACCATGCATAAAGGAAACATTCAGTAGACACTGATATAGCGCGTTAGTAACAAACGTGTTTGGATCCATTGTAAATCCAACCTCGTACCCAGGGCCTGCCCGCCCGATTTTTTAACATGGCCGCCAAAGCGGGCGAGGCCCTGGTAAACACTGGTCACGTGTCAGGCAAATACTCCAAGATTCTTGGAGTAATAGCCTGCCAGCGGGCTTTATGGAAATAAAGACAGGGGGTCGACGAAAAGTTCACGAATAGAACTTGAATTGCCGCGGATTATTTATATTCTTTTATTTTTTGTTGTAATCATTCTTTTTAACATGTTACGTTTATATATACGCCGAATGTACATCAATCTTCTTTTATTTCGCATCATATGAATCTCCGAGAAGGCGATGTTTCGAATATTTCCGAAGGAAAATGGAGCCAACCTCGTACATATTATAAATTTGTGATGATTTCCATCAAGTATTAAAAAGGTACAGTATGAATTATAGAAGTATTTTATTGTTACAAATTATTTAGCAGATTCCCATTATTTGTTACACTGACTAGCTCTATGAAATATATATTTCGAAACTGCTATTTAATATATTTTATATATACAGTATGTTAATATAGTTAGCTGAATTTGTAGTTTAAATATTGAGAAACACATGGCAAGACTATGGTCTATAATACTATACTCAGATTCTCAGTAAAGTTCTACTCTGAAATGATTATTATTTAAAATATTGATTTATCGCTGCGAGAAACGTGCCTGTTTACACTTACAGTATTATTACAGTTTACAGTTTACACTTTACACCTTACAGCAGTATTAACTTACATTCAATGACCTGAAATTATTT